GATTAACCCAAATATAAACATAGCATGAACCAGGAAGTGCCTCTAGAGGCTGTCTAGAAGACAGCCACTAGAGGTGGACTTAATCATGCATTGTAAACATTGCATCTTTTTTCTGAAGGGGACCAGGGCACTGCACCTAGTACAGTTCAGTGGGATGAAGTGGTCTCTGTGCCTATAATGTCCCTTTAAATTCTAATCTCCTGTATAACTGTGCTAATATGTTACACATTATTCATTACAATTTTAAATAATTAATTAATTAACCATCAATCAATACATATCATCATTCAATACAATATCAACCATCATCCAGTATTAGAACTCTTAGCAATTCTTCCTGTCTTCACACTTTCACACAGATTGCATCAGATTGAACCAGAACACAGAAAATAAATTACTCTTTTCCTCCATACCCTACAAGAAACAAATGCGCAAACACCTTTATCATGTGTTTTAGACTAGGATACAAAGTGACAGCATCCTGAAGGTGACTTCACAAGCAACAAATAAATTATTAAACGCAAAAGCAAATAAGTGATGTAAACTTGGGGGGAAACAAGACACATAAACCATTAAGTTCTTGTTGCATGCATGTTACTGTCGGGTCTGGGTTCAAGACGAAGTTCAGAATATTGGAAAGACAGTAATGTAGGACTCTCCTTGAAGCACATTCACAAAGTCACAGAACTTTGTAACATTAAAAAGACAAACAATGCTGGCATACATAGAGGGTGGGGACATGAATCGCCTGGTCCCATTCGTTGTTCTTTATATATCGCAAGATATGTATCATATTATGAAGCAAATATCTATAAACTAGTTGATTTCATGGACTACTGTACATGTTGGTTAATTAGTAGGTAATGGGCAGAGAAATATATATTAAAGTGGCACTTTCATGCCGTACTTACCTTTCCCCAATTGATTCTTCTCTCCCTCTGTCAGGATCTGTTCTTCATTTCTTCCTGTCTGCTCTAGTTTTCTTTAAAACATTAGATAAAGTAGGGACTATTTGTCTTACGGAGGATTCCTACACCTAACCATCTATGACCAGCGGAGGAGCAAAATGTGCTCCGATTCCTGTGGTCAGGTACATTTTCCCACAATTCTTACCTTTCCTCTGTGATCTCACGATGCTTTCTGTCCGTATTTCCGAACGTCCTGTCATTTAGACAGAACGCTGGAAAAACTACAGAATTTCATCCTAACAGAAGGAGAACAGTTTCTCCATTCGTGTTAGGACGCAATTCGGGACTTTGTTTGGATCGGAATTTCATTTCTATCTACCAAAAGGCTGAAAGACCTAAATTGGTCTTTCAGCCAAATTTACTAATACTTAGCAAAGATGACTTAGTATAAGTAAATTCTGCCCCATGCGCTATATCGCGAGTAGGGGCATGTCTACTAACATTGAGCAGCCTGTGGCTGCTCACTGTTGTAAAAGACAAAAGCCCCCTAATGTCCCCCCTCCCCAGCCCCCAACCGTGCCGCGAGAGTGGAGGCTATTAAACTAAACGGGGAACCTAGCGTTCCCCCTCTGGCCCCCTCCCATGAGCGACGGGTGGGGGCCCTAAATAAAAATGGACGGGGACCTATTGTTCCCCCTCAGCCCCCACCCATGAGGGGTGGGTAGGGGCCCTAAATGAAAATGGCTGGGGACCTATTGTTTCCCCCCTAACTTCCACCCATGAGGGGTGGGTAGAGGCCCTAAATGAAATTGGGGGGGACCTATTGTCCTCTATCCTGGCCCCCACTCATGAGTGACGGGTGGGGGCCCTAAATTAAAATGGAGGGGGATCTATTGTCCTCCCCCTGACCCCCACCCATGAGCGGCGGGTGGGGGCCCTAAATTAAAATGGATGGGGAGACTATTGTCCTCCCCCCTCGGCCCCCACCCATGAGTGGCGGATGGAGGCCCTAAATGAAAAATAGTGAGGAGGGGACATGAAAACCTGTAAATAAAAAATAACTTACCATTTGATGTCTTTTTTTTTCTAAAATCTTCTTTTTTCAGCCCCCAAAAAGTCCAAATAAAAATCCATAAAACCCGTTGCAATTGTTAAAATAAAAAAAAAACCTGCGTGCAAAAAGAAAGACAAAAAAAAAAAAACAGACGCCCCCCCCCAAAAAATCCATCTTCACCCAGCGACGGCACAGCGCAGACTGAGATCTGCAGGGTGGAGAAAGGCTTATTGACTTAGAGCACTCTGATTGGTTGATTCCATGCCAACCAATCAGAGTGCTTTGACAGGTAAATGAAGAGACTGACTGGCTTGAAATCCAACCAGTCAGAGTGCTCTGTGTCATTTTACAGAGAGTGGGAAAGTTCTTTGGAATTTTCCCATGTTGTGTAATTTGACTCATAACACTGTGATTGGTTGCTCTTCAAATTGAAAGTAGCAGTACTCCCTGCCACATCCTAAGCCGCCCATGTCCTACCTCACTCTATGGGGGTCAATATGACCCACATAATAGCATTAGGAAGATTAAAATCTCCCGAATGCCTCTACTCGCCATGCCACAAGTAGGGGCATGTCTACTAAACAGTGAGCAGGAAGACTCCTGCCGCCTCTATTTTTACGTATTACAAGGGGCTAGCTGTGCGGCAGTAGCTCCCTCCTTGTAATAAACTGAACGAACGAAGAGGTCTTCGTTCATTCATTTGAAATTTCTGTTAATTTATTCGTCTTTCTGACTAATGAATAGATGAAATTCCGATTTGCATGCCGAAATGTTTAACTGGGCATGCGCAGGAATTTCACAGCACTATCTAGTGTGGGCAGATGACGTGTCCCACAGGGACTTCATCTACCCACACAAAGATGGCGGCGCTCAGGACCTAGGTCCGGGCAGAAAATAAAGATTACAAAATAGGTAATATGTGGGGGCTTAGGGGCATCTGGGGTTTACTAGGGGGACAATTAGATGTAGTGGAATCAGGAGGGGGGTTTAAAAAAAAAATGGGATTCGGCCATGACAGTTCCTCTTTAATTCCCACAGTATCAGGGAGCTTTCAGCCAAATTTACTAATACTTAGCAAAGATTACTTAGTATAAGTAAATTCTGCCCCATGCACTATATTGCGAGTAGGGGCATGTCTGCTAACATTGAGCAGCCTGTGGCTGCTGACTGTTGTAAAAGACAAAAGTGTCCCCCCTCCCCAGCCCCCAACCGTGCCGCGAGAGTGGAGGCTATTAAACTAAACGGGGAACCTAGCGTTCCCCCTCCGGCAACCCTCCCATGAGCGACGGGTGGGGACCCTAAATAAAAATGGATGGGGACCTATTGTTCCCCCCCTAGCCCCCACCCATTACTAGATGTAGTGGAATCAGGAGGGGGGGTTACAAAAAAATGGGATTCGGCCATGACAGTTCCTCTTTAATGGTGAATGGTACATTAGTTCCCCTGACCTGGTATATGGACACTAACATTTAAGGGAACAGGGCCCAGCAATAGTTTGAGCTATCTATCGCTAGGAAACATGCTGCGTTCCATTCTTTCCTAGGCCATCCAATAATAACTCCTCATAAAGGCTTATTCGGTGGATGCCCATCCAGCCAAGATATACCTTCTCTGCTAAAGGCAACCAGGGGCATTTTATAGTAAGTGCCATGTTCTGTATTAGTGTGCTCTCTGGCCACCCTGCACCTTGAATATAAATGTAGAGTATGAATGAGTGACCAAGAGACTCTACTTGGGTATGTTTTCAATTTGAGCAGTAATATTAGACAGTTTTTATTGAAAATTCACACAGTCCACAGGAGCCTCTCTCAATCTATATTTGTGGAGTTGCAGATGGAAATGTCTGGCTGAAGTCACTTCTGCCCCTTTTGTTACTCTGTGAGGGTTAATTCTCGCTCCACGTTGCGTGTGGGGTGTATTTACCACATGGCTTTCCTTCAGGGTCCTATTACCGGCAGGTCAGGTCCTTTGAAAGCTCCCCTTAGGATTTCACTGGCTTTGAGGCTGCTTCTGGTCATAGGAAAATACCCCTGACTTCCCAGGCCTATATTAAGACTAATGGTTGCTGACATGGTTATAACTATGCTCTCTGTTTCAGGACACTAATGGCAAAGTCCTACTGAGCATGTTAGTGATTTTTCTAGATTCCCTATTTTGCCCTACTTTGTCAAAATTGATACTTTTCTCTGCTTAGCTTTGAGCATGGACACTTTTCAGAGGTGGGCTCTGGTTTTTTGCGCTCCAGGATTTTCCTGTCCCTAAGGTTCTTATGATCTTGGTATAAAAAAGTAGAATTAATCAAGAACTCCCTTGGTACTTTCCCATAAATTTGGTAAGATGTTTTCTGTCATGATTAAACATTTACGGTTTGGGAAATTGATCCTAATGTAAATAAGGCTATTTCCGAATTGGCCAAAAAAACTATTCCAGATTCCTTTGCAGGCTAGTATTCTTGAGGACAAGGAATTAAAGGGGTTCCCTGTTTGCTTCTTTCAGGTCACGCTTTCCCCCCAAACACAAGTATGCTTGGGTGAGGGGTTCCCCTTTTATTGTGCCATCTTCTCTTTCTCACAATCATTTATTTGGGGATTGACACTAGTTCTAAATGCCTAACCATATGTACCACAAAAATAATCTTGTGTCTTATCCCCAGATGACCTAACTGTAAAAATAGGCTATAAATGAACCAATGAAAGCAACTAAATCAAAATTTATGTTTACCAAGTACATTTTTTTGTAGATGGGCTCTAAAGGTGTAGAACCAAACTACAGGTGCATACAAATAAATTGTGTAATGATTAACTCAGACATTTAAACATGTTTTATTTGCTGCTTATTAATATGCTAATGAAAAACTGTCAACTCTTTGATTACAATAATGGCCATGTAAGCATTTTGACTTGTGTCCCTACTGAGTTACAGCTCAGAGAATTGATTGCTTACAAACCCACACACCAAGACATGTTTAATCAATGAAGCATGATTCAATGTGTCAATATATGAATTACAAATACACAGAGCAGAAAAAGTCTTATTGACTTAAATTAGTGAAACTAAATAATTTCAAGTGAAGCTTCTCTCCCCGGGGTAATAGGTAAGAAAATAATGGAAAAAAGTATGAGCTAGACTAAACATTGGTACAATTACAATTGATTAGATGTATTGAGTTGGTTTACCCAGTTTTTTCTATATAACAGTTCAGTAACACATAGGGATGAAATATTTAGAGAGGGCGATGAGTTACAAAGGAAACAAGGAAAGTCCAGCTTCCCCTTCCTACATGTATCTACATATCACATATCAAATTGTGCAGGGACAAAACTTACAACTTTACTGCAACAGATTTCAATAGTTCTATTCTCTAATTGCCATGTGCCGGCCAGTGATTCCCATATGTACACTTTGCAGGTAAATTTTTACTTGTTATAAAACACAAAATATCTACAAATATAAAAAACAAGTATAGTCCAACACTGTAAACTCAAAATAAAAATGGGAATTAGGTAAGTATTGCACTCACAAACCTATATTGATAGAAGGCATGTAACTAAATCTCTTTAAATCTTCTCTCTTCCAAGGATCCCAAGTAGCAGCACCACATGTAGAAGAAGATAAAAAATGGGACACATAGAGTAGCTCTTAAACATGAAATCACTCCAAATGGTTGGAGATGATATAAAAAAGCAGCATAGAAAATAACAATTATATTATAACACAGAATAAATAATAGAAGTCTGCCCTATGCGTTTCACCCACGATTTTGACTTCAGGGGAAAAATATTAAACTCCATGTTGCTCCAAACTGTGCTTGATTGATACCTTCTGACATGTCTCGGTTTAAATCTCCAAGTTCTCCCCACCCGTGGACTTCCATCAGCCAATCATGCGGGAGGGGTTAAACCACATCACCTGTCTTTACGGTCTTTACTTTTTGTCTCTTTTCAAATATGTATAACCACAGTTTGGTAACAGCTCTTAATAGTTAACATTTGAATTGTTTATGTTTTTTATACTAATTATATTGGCCTGTGTAGTTTATTCATTTAGTGCATTATAAAATCTGTAAGTATCTCCCTCTGACGTTCTCCATGTGGAAGCTCACGTTTTGGGTGCATAAAACATTAAAGCGTAATGGTCCCACTGGAATTTTGTGGTTGCTAAAAGTGATGAAGTCTGTACCAAAGAGGAACTGTTAAATATGGTTTGCTGCTATACCTTGCTCAAAGTGCATTTATAGAGTCAATTCTGCCATTTCATAGTGCACCAGACCTATATAGATGCTTCTGTGAATGTGTAATATAATGTTTCATGCTAGGTGTAATTACACTGTGGTGGCACATATGTTTCTTTGAGCTTTGGCTACAAACAGAAAATGATCCTTGTCACAGAAACTCCAGAACTCGTGCAAATCTTTGTGATACATACATAGGCGTGCGCACGGGGTGTGGCCTGGGCACACCCTAATCCCGCGGCACGCCTATGTATATTGAGACCGGCAGGGGAGATCTCAGGATCTCCCCTGTCGGCTCATGCAGAGCCGGCGCTATCCGAGCGCCGGCTCTGCTCTCAGCCTCCCTCCCCACTGACCCGCAGGCAGGGAGGGAGGCAGGAGAGGACCGGCGGAGCTATTGCCGGCAGCTCCGCCGGGTTCCTCTCGCGAGATATGAGCGTTGCCACGGCAACGCTCAAATCTCGCGAGAGTGAACTCTAGCCCCACAGGGGCTAGAGTTCACTCTCCACTGGACCACCAGGGATCACAGCAGCAAGGATCCCCTCCTCCACTGGACCACCAGGGAAGGAAGCAGCAGCACGATCCCCCCTCCCTACAAAAGGTAAGAAGGGAGGGGGGATAGCAAGTAATGTACCCCCATCTCCACCCCCCACAATCACCCACCCACACACATACAACACACAGCACCACCCACAGACATACCCACAGACACACACAGCACCCACACAGACTTTACACACACCCACAAACATACACAGCACCCACAAACACACACAGCACCCACACACATACACACCCATACACAGCACCCAACAGACATACACAGCACCCACACATACAGCACCCACAGACACACATACAGCACCCACACACATACAGCACCCACACATACATACAGCACACACACACACATACAGCACCCACCCAAACAACACACACACAGCACCCTCACACACAGCACACAAACAGCACCCTCACACACACACAGCACACTAACAGTACCCTCACAAACACAAACAGGACCCTAACAAACACACACACAGCACACTACCAGTACCCTCACACACAAACAGCACCCTCACACACAGTACATTAACAGCACCCTCACAAGCGCACACACACACACAAACAGCACCCTCACACACAGTACATTAACAGCATCCTCACAAGCACGCACACACAAACACCCTCACCCACATAGCACACTACCAGCATCGTCACACACACATCACACTAACAGCACCCTCACACAGCACACACACAGCAGTGTGTATATATATGTGTATATATATATATATATATATATATATATATATATATATACACACATACAAACATATATATATATATATATATATATATATATGCGGCGTGTGCTTGTGCTTTAGGGTGCACACCCTAATGCAATAGGCTGCGCACGCCTATGGATACATAATGTATTCAATGCTTTTTGGGGGGGATATAGCCTAAGATTATGAACCCATGACAGGTTCACTTTAATAATTATGAGCATCTTTATGAGCACCTGTTTTTGTATTCTTTTTCGTGGGCTGATAGTTTACAATAAAGCAAATAAAACAGACAGTAATTCTTGGTTCTCCGTTGTTCAATACTCAATCGTATATTGCAAAAATGTTGCTTCTTGTTAAATCTTGTTAAAATCCTTTATGTGTGAAGAGTGTGTCCTGTAGTGGAGTGCTAGACTTGACCAGGACTCTCCTCCACTGGATCCGTGAAGACAGGAACTCTGGAACAAGGCGCTGTGAACTGAATAACTTTATCCCTCCCCAGTAACTGGATGACACATAGTTCTGGTAATATCACTGATTTATTCCACACAAACTCAGCTTTTTATGCACAGACCCCCTGCATGGGGTCTCCTTTCAAAAAGTATACAAACCCCTCCCAGGCGTCCCATTGTCTGAGAAATAATTGAGTCAAAACTGAGTAACTCAATTATTTCTCAGTTACAGGAAACTACATGAAACGTACATAAAACACCCCAAACACATAGTGATATTTTACAGCTAACCAAATAAAAAAAGTTACCTGCGCCCTCTCCCAAATCAGTATATATATTTAAACAACTGGAGGTTATTTACTTACTCTCATGGCCATTGGAGAGAATGCGCACCTGCCACGTCAAGACAAACCTTTTAGTTGGGTTCTACACTAACCATTCACCTTGCTTCCTTTCCTTGAGCTTCTGGCAAAGACATCTCTAATGAGACAGAGAGGGGTATTTTTTTATATACATCCCTACATTAACCCTTATTAACCCTTAATAGGGAACACATGGGATGGGCAGCAGCATTGTAACAAGGCTGTGTGATACAAATGTAAATACAAATACAAAAAAACAAGTCCTGCACTCAAACCCACTACTCTTGGGTGGCAGCAATGACCATAGTACACAGCCCCAATACACACAGTAAAAACCAAAGAAAAAAGGTTACCTGCGCTCTTTCCCAAATGCCTATGTATATTTAATTAAATGGAGGTTATTTTTTTTATTTTATATTTTACAGGAACCCCACAAGTCTTAAATCCCCGAATAGCCCGGATATGAGTGCCCAAGTTGTTCAATTAGCCCTCAGATCCGTTCGCTAGAACGGAATCGCCATTTGGGTAAAGTTCTGACCAACCTTTCGGGGGTTCCTGTGCAAACACAAACAAACGCTCCCCATGGCTTTTAGGTAGTGAATGCTCGCCCCAGTCGGTAGTTCATATCTCCCAAACATTGTTTGTCTAGTTGGTCGAGAAGAGGTACAGGCAGTGGTACGAACTCCGCCAGGGTTCGTGGACTTGCATAGCCGAAAATAGTTCCAGGCGTTCGACAACCAAGTACCGCTGCCTGTGTTCGGGAGACAAAATGGCCACCATGCTCTAGAACACGTGTGTTCAGTTATAGGAATGGCGGCCACCCAGGGAAAGCACTTGAGTTAATCAGTTAATTTGTGGTTAATGCCAGGGTATGTCGGCATTCGGGAAGGTATAAAAGGGAGACCACACCATCCATTCTATAAATGAACGAGGGTATTATGGAAAACCAAACAAAAGGGAATGAATCTGCTACATCTTTGGTTTTTCATTTTACACAATGTGCAGATTTCAATAGAAATTGTCACTTTTATACATTAACTTTGTTACACTCCCTGGCTGTAATTCAAACGACCAATCCTGTTACTTTGTTTAGTTCAGTGAGCCAGATCTTTTCCTGGGTGGGGTCAGATTGCTCACGTGCTCTGTAGATTGGTGGCGTGTTCAGCGCTAGACTCAGATACACTGATTATATAGTATGTACCATTTTCTCTATGGACACCCACTGATAGGCTGAGAGTGTCAACAATTCCTCATAATGCAGTGAAGAGAGGAAATAAGCCAGGAGGCAGGAGTGCCAGGAACTTGAGCGCCAAATTAGTGGTTAAACCATCGCCAAACGTTTTAACCCATGAAGGTAAGATGACACACATACACTCCTGCCCCTATAACAACTAAAATAAACATAATCTTAATAAGCTTGTTATGGATTGTGTCTTTCTTTAAGAAGCTGAATATAAGAAAGCATGTATTTACTTTTGCAAAATTATACAATGCTAAGCATGTAAAAAATACAGCAAACTATTTGGACCAAAAGCTAAAAATGCATAATAGTTGTCTTGTTGCTTGGAGTTTCCCTTTAAGTCTCTGAGTGATTTACTTCTATATCCATGGTCATTGCCACGTTGTAATTCAGAGAAACTGCTCTACCTTTCTCATCACCAACAACACAGTCAGCACTCAATGAAATCTGAAACCTCAGTACTGTCATTTCACCTGCTGAAACAGGCTCGACAGGTTTTCTTAAGTATATTACCCTTCTTGATGAAATGTGGCATACGTCTCCTCATTTATTACACCACAGGCTACGCTTTATACAATTACTGTATTGAAAAATACTAGTGTAATTGAAACTCTCTGCTTTAGCTGTATTTACCTCTGTAGCATGTGAAACTACCCACGGAGAGTCTCCTACCTGGTATTTATATTGAGGAAGAGAACAATGTTTAATGTATTGCCTGCCAATTTCCAAGTGCAATGCAGGAGACGTGAGGATG